AAATTCCATGTTCTGGAATAAAAGTTTGTCCAACATTTATAGAAAATAACTTTACTCAGCATTCAACAAAAAGTACATGCTTGTTATATTTGTTCTACTTGTTATCACATGGAAGGAGGATATTTTTTTCAAAGAAGTGGATGAGGTAGAGGTTCAAATTATATTCATGTAAAGAACATCATTTATTAGATTATTCTAAATCACTTGAACTTATAGGAAGATGGATTCAATTAATGGCAAAAAGCGAAAGTATTACACAAGCTTTTCTTATTAAAGAAATTTTTACAGCAATTACAAATTTTTTTGAAAAAAACAGAATTTTGGAAATACTAAATTTGACTTTATATAACCAAAATCACCTAGTTTTATGACTATTAAGATATATTTACGACTACAAAAAATTATTCTTGATATATTTAAAGAATCATGCAAAATTTATAAAATAATTAAAGAGAATCCTGAAAAAGCTGGTGAAGCTTTTGGTCAAATAATTTGGAATTCAAGATCTGATATTTGTGCAAAAAAATATGATTTGGAAAATTCTACAACTTTAATTCAATATCAAACTGGATTTCCTTCAGTAATTAAGAATTTTCTTGACAATATTTTAATCTAATTGCAAAAGAAAAAATGGAAAGTCATACAAAAAAAACAAAAACAATGAAAACTAATTACTAAAGAATTTGATAAAGATCGGGCTATAAAAATTTCAATATTTTTAATATCACTTTTGCTAATAATGACATTTCCAAATATTAATATTTGGTTGACACATGTTTTAAGCTCACTTTGTCAGAAACCACAACTTCAGTCATCACTTTATTCCATATTATGTGTTGCAAATATTATTTCACATATTTCAAGATATAAAAATGATTGGAAAAAGCATATCAATTAATTTATAATTCTAGAGAAAGAATATTATATAATAATAATATGGAATATTAGTATAATAGATAATATAGACTTTCAAAAGCAAATATTTATGTATGATAATATTTTTGATATAACCTGAAAAATATCTGCCTATAAATCGAAAATTTGCAATTCAATTCAAATCTGATCATTTCACAAATAAGCAATAAAAGAGTACGTAATATCAATTTTCCTTTCTTAAATTGAATAAAAAAACTATATGTGGTAACGTGGTAATCAAACATCGAATTCTTTGGTTAGAAATTGGACATGCTATATGTGTTAGTTTGTGATAAAGTAATTTATCTGTTAAATAAGAGTTAAGAATTGTTACAAACTTTTAGTGTATATATCTGGAGGTAAGTATTACATAAAAGAAACCAACTTTTTTTCTGAAACTCTTGACTTTAACTGCATCTGGTATCGTGACCAGCAACAAAATATTAAACATTTTGTATTTGTTCTTGGAAACCTTAGCAAATTGGCTCCTCCAAATGGTTCTTACGAAGCCATTTGTGGTACTCAGGTTCGACGAACCCCTAATGATTTTCATGGACCAAGAAACGCGGCGAAGAATTTATCCCTTCCCTGGTTTTGGAAAGGATATTGAGGCACACTACTCTCTCAAAATAATGTAAAAATTTAAAATCATGCTAAAAAAGGACGAAAAATGTATGCAAGGTTGATATATTTAATTTTTGATGTCACACACGTAATTATTATATGACTTTGACCAGGGCTAAACTTATATAGGTTTAATCTGGGGTTTTCCCGAGTTTATTCGACTAGTTATATCCTATATTTTTATACAGGATTTCGCCTAGTTTTGATGCATATGTTTCCTATTGTTTTATTTGTTTAGTAATATCTGAGGCAAAAAATATAAATAAAATTTTGTCCCCACGTTTTGATTAGGAGAAAATCTAAGTTATTCGACTAATAGGAAAAATCAGGTTAAACTTATACGAGTTTAATCTAATTTTTATTCCGCTATATTTTGTATAGTGTTTCGCTTGATTTTGACGCATATTTTTTCTTATTATTTAACCGGATTTTATTTGTTCGATAAAACTGTGGAGATATCTAGGGTAAAAATTATCAAATTGAATTTGACCCTACATTTTGACCAAAGGGGAAACCCACATTGTTCGACCAGTGGTATCGGTATGCTGTACATGTACATGTATAACGATGGATAAATAAAATGATAATCTAGACGGTTCTAAGTTTACAAAACAAAGTGATCTAAAGGCCGGTCTGGACCACAGTCTTGAATCAAACCAAATCCACCTACAGTATCTACATCAAAAACATTTATTTATTACGATAAATGTATTCGTTTTAAATAACCGTAGAGAACTGCTTATAGTATAGTGCACTCCCGAATAAAGTACTCCTATTATCCACCAATGAAATCACTGAAGCCGTGAATAATATCAGCATTATTAAATGTCAAAATCAAGCAGTTTTAAATACTTGGGATACTATAGGTAGTAGCGTTCTATGGTGATAAATTATTGTAGTGATAAACTTACAAATCAAGATAAAGAAGCATTTTTCGACATAAAATAAGTTCAATACAAATATTTCAAGATTTTTGTTTTTAACATCTATTTTTCATTGATTATCATATTTTCCCAGAAATAAGCACTAACTGCGATTCTGAAAAAGGCACAACACCTGCAGAAAAATTAATATTCTAAAATTCATGTACGATTTTTAATACCTTGGGTTTGTGTTTAGATTTTGAGTTTAGATATTTATTCTAAAGATAAAATAATCAACCATTTATTACTTGTATAAATATAATGAATTAGTTAATGATAGTAATTTCTTTTCATAGTAATTAAGCGAATTTTTGGCAGCGTCGTGCATTTTTTATGTCCAAACTGTACTGCTACGGTTAGAGATAATTTCGTTATTCTCCCAACTTTGGTAAAACCCGTCTGGCCCGATTTCGTTAGTCTAATTTTATTCGCTTTTGCTAGCTATTTTATTTCTTTTCGATCTTAAATTCTCTCTTAAAAAATAGAGTGTATTATGCGATAAATTCTAGAACGATACTTCACAATGCAAACAAAAAGATGTATATGTAGTCCTCGCGGACGTTAATAAAAATTCAGAATTAATTGCGTACAATTCTTCTCCAGTAAATTAGACTTGTAATTGGTTGTAGTTAGATCCTTTGATCCAGAATAGGCATTGATATCGTTAAAACGGCATACTGATTGTTTGAAAAGCGCTTTGTTGATTAGATAGTTTAAGGCTTTTAGCTAGAAAAAGCAACAACAAATCTGTCACTTAAAACCCGAAATCACCTTGCCTAAGAACCCGAACTCATCCAAACAAACAAACAAACACCACTCAATTATTCACTCTCTCAACCCATCGTTGCACACCTAATCATACGATGTCCATACTATGTCCAAGACAACTGTTCCACAGACTGATCAGATGACTGATACGCATGATTCATCGTGAGCTTACAGCGAATTTGCTCTACACTTCCTTTGCGAATTCTAAATGAAAGATTAAAATGAAACGATTCACAATCAACCAATTTCCAATTCCCTTTATGTAGCATGTCGAGTTTTTTTTTAATCCCCCTATCAAAGCGTTGTGGCATTATTTATATTACATTGACAATGAAAGTAAATACTAAAGTTATTTATTCTTCTCCGAATTATAAATTATAAATAAATAACGAGCTTTTGTACTATTTTCAGTGTTTGAAATTTCATATTTATCCGGTTGCTTTGTTTGTCAAGAGTGTAACAAACTATAATTTCACAATCTATTATATATAACGTATGAAACTTTTATCTCACAATAAATTGCAACTCTCATCTCTAAACAACCTACTCCCGCTTAACTTGCACAATGAAAATCGTCATAATCACTCTTCTAGAACAGAAAATTGCAGGTTGTAACGTCTTTCAACCTAGTCATATATTTGACGCGGAGTGGTGCCTTGATCTCCATGGTTTTCGTAATCGCCAAGCGTTTGAAGACCAACTACGTGACATCAATAATTTTATTACCCAATACCCCCTATTGAGCGAAAGAGCAAAGAAGTTCATCATGAAAACCTGCGGTGGAGTGTGTCTGTTCATAGCTCTAATTTTGATTATAACTATTTACACTCAGGCATCTTCTTTTATTTTTCCTGGCATCATAATCGAAATATGTCTTGCTGTCGGATACTATGTGGCCCAAAGGGTGATTGAAAACATAGCAACGAGACGCGCCAGAATATTTAATACTGCTGTAAAGGGGCTGTTCACCCAATATAACCTTCGAGATAATCCAACTGCCAATTGGACCCTCGTGTGGCGCACCACTATCACCCATTACACGATAAATGCAACATCTATTGATGGGAATATTAAAGGGGAAATTACGCCGAAATTTGCTGAGTATGTAGAGATAGTGCTAGAAATCAATGACGCACTCTCGGATCTTACTGCTCATACCGTTCATGTGAAAAATACCGAAGGATTCAGGTCCTTACCCCCTGCCACTGCCGCCACATGCACACATTGCGCACATTGCATACATGATCCTCATAACCAATATAAGACTCAGTAATACAAGACCTTTATTTTTCGTAGCTCATGAACTCAACAACTTGCTCTATTCGTTTTATTTATTTCTATTCGTTTTACAATTTTAATATCTATTTCTATTCATAGCCTGGTAGACCAACAAATTAACATGTAATTTATATGTAGTTTATTTATAATGTATACTCAATGTACAATTATTTTTATAATTAAAATGCAAATATTTAATCAGAACTAAGATAACTATATACTGATTTCACCATATGAAGTACTTTAACCTAAACCAATCATCTTTTTGCAAACAAATTCACAGTGCAATTTCAAAAGTTTTTGTTATTAAATTAACAGCTTGAGATTACTTTATATGGTGAAATCTGAAACGTATTGGTTTTATTGAATGAGAGTGGAAATCATAAGGGATTTTATAACACTTGGTTTACAAGCACAAAGAAAGAAAATACATGTTTACAAAGGGATAACTGAAAGAAATTATGTTTTGTAACAAATATTTAAAGGTGATGTTGTCCGGTTATAGCCGGTTATATTGAAAAGAATTGTTTATAAACATACAATTGACGTTCTTGTTATTAAATGAATTTTGTCATTTAGTTAAATAATTATTGTTAGAATTCCTTGCGAAAGTAAGTGGTAGAAGTAACTTCAGAACAAATATAGTAAAGTCAATATCTGAGAGTGTTTCCCTTAGGTCTTGTGTATTATTAATTGTTCACTGTTAGATTCAATTAATTCTTCGAAAATGTCATTTGCTAAAATGGTAGATTTCATTTGTATTTTTGTGCTTTATTTGGTTAATTCTGTACATGTTGCATTTGTTGTTACACAAAAACAATGATCTTTATTCTACATGTACACTATCCATGCTGTATTTTTTTCATAGCGATAAGATTATAAAGTAAAATTAACTTTTGCTTGGCATTCACATTCAGCCTCAATGAGTTACCTTTATAACATAACCTGTACTGTTCTTTCGTTTGTTTACTGTAGAATACAGATGTACAACATAAACATGTTTGCTAACGATAAGATGCATTTATAGATTTATCGTTATCGTTATTATCGTTAAACAACGCAGAAAAAAATATACTACCGATATTAAATTGGTACGCGCTTATCGTTATCTTAAACTCTGGGTTCTTGTTTTCTCAGTCAGACAATAGCTTCTTGGTATTATGAAGTGAAATTGCGATGAGAAAAAAACTGCGATAGAACATGTGGTGGTCAATGCCATATTACATGTACATGTACGTACGTACGTTCGTAGTTGGTTACATGCTCATAATGTTACTGTGACATTTAATAATACATGTACATGTAGATTCATAGACAGTTGTTATAACGAGTTTACTACATGTACATGTATCACTATAACAAGCGGTTTTATTGGGGAAAAATCCGTTACAAATTAACAGCGTTACTGTATCAAAATGTTACTGTAAAGAGTGTCATTGTAACGAGCTCCCACTGTACTTAAAACTTTCATGATATTTCGTCGTCGATGATAGAACGAAACAGAGAGACTCACGTAGAGCTTCGAATCGGATTAGTCTTGAATATACATGTACATGTAATAGGGTTTTCCAGTTGTACAAAAATCATAAACGAATAATCTTGTTATACAGTATACCGATAAGGGTCAATTCGGATAAATATTCTAGGCTAAACCAGATTACTCTAGAATAATAAAATTGCAATAAAAAAACTATTTGATGTAATATTAGTTTGTTTTTTTCATAATCTTAATTAGATAATTTCTTCGTAAAACGTAGCATTACGCTATTACTTATTAATATATTCGTATTTTTTTATACGTGTGATCAGATTAAAAGATATATCTTATAACAATAATTACATAATTTTAAGATTTATAAAATCGAGAATCTAGCGCTAGCGCTAGGATTATCCTATTAGATTAATTTTATATCTGGATAACCTAACCGGATAATGAATAATAGGATTATTATAAGATATCCTAGAATATTTATCTGGTCTGGGTAAGCTCTAAGCGCACGCTGGCATCGCAGAACCAATGTACAGTACCCCAAAAAGTAACGCCCGGTCCAAAATTATATAATAAAACATATAAATACTGGAGATTTTTAAGACATTTATATCTAAATTTTTTATAATAATTATTTCTATATTTTAAAGCTAACTGAATGTATTTTGAAAAAATAATACCAAAATTATGGCAACTTAAAATACAAGGACTGTTTAGATTGTAACGTAAAAAAATTTTTCCCAAGCTTTATATATGTAAATTTAAAATTTCAAGTTATATATATATTTCTATTAGTAACTATTTCTAAATTCTATGGGTGCGGCCCAAAATCCCGACTGCCAAAATTCCGATACCCACATCCCGACACCCAAAATCCTGGCTTACCAAAATCCCGAAATACGAAAATCTCGAATGCCCAACATCCCGACATTGCCCAAATCCCGACTCCCTAAAATCCCAAATGCCCAAAATCCCGACTCCCAACATCCCGACATTGCCAAAATCCCGACTCCCCAACATCCCGACATCCCCAAAATTCCGATATATCCAAAATCCCGAATGCCCAAAATCCCGACATATCCAAAATCCGACATTCCCCAAATCCCGACAATACACTCAAAATTATCGATAGATGTTACCGAAGTAGCATTAAATTCTTCAAATTCTACATGAAAATTTTTCCATAACGACCTACGCGATAATCCTTCCAAAATTAGTTTCTTGTGTAAGTTGTATTGTAAACCAAATTTCGTTAGCGTTAGGAATAGATATTACCTTTTTTATTTTAATTTGTTTTTATTTATCGTACATGTGTTACGAATATTCTATCGTTCTGTTAATACATGTACATGTATAACGTATGCGACGATCAACGAGAGGGTAACAATCACAACAATTATTCGAACGATAATCAATACACGTAACGGTAACGATTATCGAGAGGATAATCCCGACAATAATCTGGAGGAGCATCGACGAAATGTATATAACGATAGTGATTGCCGGAAGAGCAACAATCACCGCAAATCACAGACAATTGGGAAACATCGAACGATTATTAACAAAAGTAACAATAGTGATTAACGAGAAAAGGAGAGACAGATGTCTCGACAATTATCTGGACAATTGAAAGACACCAAATGTTGTTTAGTTGTTCTAAGAGAAACCATCAATGTAAAATACTAACCGTATGATTAGCGTAGTAATTCAAAAAATTTGCACATAGAAGTGTTCTTGGGTTTCAGAGAAGACATGCTTTGATCGTGTTTTTAATCGAATAAAATAACAAAGTTTTTACTCGTAATAATATTATTTGTGAATACACTATTATTTTCTTTAGTTTCGTGATCAAACTTCAGTGGATGCTCCTCCACTTAAAATAAGCCGTTGTTTTTCTTGATTTGATTTCGTATTTCTTTATACAGGCCGTACCAATAAGTTATCTGGAATTGATTTTGTTTCTTTGAACAGGCCGTACCAATAAGTCCTGTTGAATCGTTTTTACTTTTGATTTTGATTTTTTGAACAGGCCGTATCAATAAGCCCTGTTAAGTTGTCTTTTAGTATTGAGTCTTTCTTGGACAGGCCGTATCAATAAGTCCTGCCACATTTTTTAATATATCAATTATTGCTAAGAATAAATATTTTATTATAACGAATTGATTTTTATCAAAAGAGTGATTCAACCTTATCTTATTCTCCCCTTCAAACACCCCCTCATTATTTTGAAAAGGTCAATTTGTGAACAAATCACCACGGAAAACCTCTAGGACAACCGGAGAGACCTTCTAACAGTAAATAATTCAGTCTAATTCCCACCTCTGTTGCAGAAAGTTCCTTGAATCGATTGATTATTGTGATAACTACAATAATCTGGTGCCCCCAACCATCGTAAAATAACTCCTTTCAACAAATATTGGAAGGAACACAACAATATGTATGTAAAAACGCATGCACGTAATAAATAATGATTATCACTATCATAGCGATTATAAAGGGTGAAATTTGTACTAATATTACTACTAGTCTTACATTACCCTTACTCTTTCATACATATATATCCCTTACTCTTATTTCTATTTATTTACATTTTATTTTTATGCATATACATACATTTTCATTAATATATAAAGTTGAGTTTGATTAATTAATGTAATTTATTAAACTTCTAAAAATGAATGAATTTGTGAAGTTGTGTCTTCTCGAAAGGCAATAATAAAATTAATGTACGTGATTATTTGATGACAAAAGAATGAAGCTGAGAAAATATTTTTTATTGGTACTATGAAAAAAGAAAATCAGAAAATTACAAAGGTCGAGCTACAACATTTTTTCTCAATAATTTACACTACCTTCAAAAATTTGTTGATCATAATTACATATATAATTAACCTATACAAATTATTCAGAGCAGTAATATTAATATTTCGGAAGAGATCCAATCATATATGTCATCATATAATGCACTTTGTAAAAAAATTCAATATATTAGAAAAGCATATATACCATCACAACCACAAAGTCTTAATAAAATCAATATTCTGGATTCACTTTATATTACTTTAAATAGTAATTTATTTTTAGTAAGAAATTTTACAATTGATCAAGAACAAATTCTTTTGTTTACTACCAGAAATAATATTTGATATCTATCTCAAGTACAATTCTGAATTATAAATGAAAAATTTAAAATAGTTCCAACAATCTTTTATCAGTTATATACTGTTACAAGTTTGTTCACTAATCATAAAATTAGCTTACAAACAAGAATCTGGATTAAAAGAGAGTAATAAATTGATAAAAATATTAAAATAAAAAGAAGGGATATCTAAGACCTATGTCAATTTCTATGAAAATTGTATTTACTTAAAAAGGAATAATAATATGGGAGAGTTGTGGAAGAGTAAAGATCAAAGAGGAGAGAGAGAGTATAAAGGAATAATAAAGAGATGATTTTGTACTTGTGTAAAACTTTTTAGAACCAAGATAATATAATTAGTAATAAC